AAAAGGCTTTTGAACTACACCAATATCACATAGTTATGCTTGATTAGCGTTAGCATGTTTTTCAGCAAATTCCCAGTATGCAGCCTATCGCTCCCCGGCGCTCACCACCAGTATTTCGTGCAATTCCCGAAAAAGAACCTGTGGTAAGGCTTGAGAAATCCAACATCTTACTGATAGGACCTTCTGGCGTCGGCAAGACATTCCTCACGCAAACTTTGGCTAGGTAATTTTAAAGTTGTTCTGTCTATCTTTACGCGGGATTTATTCAGATATTTCTACAATTTGTCCATATTTATAGAATCCTCGATGTTCCTATAGCTCTATGTGATTGTACCTCGATGACTCAGGCGGGATATGTGGGTGAAGATGTGGAGAGTGTCATACAGGTTAGTTATTTCTTTAGCTGTAAATCCTGCGGTTACTCTAAGATTTTCAGAAACTTGTACAAGCAGCTGGAGGAAATGCGGAAAAAGCGCAACAGGGTATTGTGTTTCTCGACGAGGTTGACAAGGTAAGCTTTTTCTTCGTTTTTTCGTCACTTACTTGGTTCCAACTTTTAGCGCATTTTTGCTGTTTATCTTGTTCATTGCTGAGTACGCTATTTATTTGTTATTATACTATTGATCAATCACCATTCTTTCATCAGCAAATAACTTACCATAATTTTCTTTGGAACGTAGTGACCAGTCACTGTTAGTTGAAGCATTTCTTTGTGTATGTACTGCTCGTGTCAAGCTAAAGCTGACCAGACCTCTCTTGGTTTTTCCCACACTCTCTCATAGTTTGGTGCCATTTGAAGGCAATTTTTGACCATTTCAAAACAGATTGCCGCTGCACATGAAGGACACTCTGTTGCATATCGTGATGTGAGTGGCGAAGGTGTTCAACACGCCTTACTGAAATTGGTGGAAGGTACTGTAGTAAATGTAAAAAGCGGACGAAAAGGAGTAGGAGCTCAACAAGACACAGTGCAGGTATCTTGGTATTTTGAATTTTCTTAGGGAAGCTTACTGAACTTGATATGTTTAGGTAGATACATCCGACATTCTCTTCGTTGCATCTGGTGCATTCAACAACTTGGATAAAATTGTGGCGCGTCGACTCGACAAGAAGAGTTTAGGATTTGGTTAGTTAC